TAGTCCTCAAGTTGACATCTTTGTTCTTCAACACTTTAAAAAGTTCCTGTGCTGCAGATTTGCCCAGTGCAATACGTCGTCTGATCTCTTGACCGCTGCTTCCGCAAGTGTTGACAGTTGATCCAAGAAGAATGAAGTCCTTGACAGCTTCAATCTCTTCTCCATTGATAAGAATGCTGTTTATTACAGAAATTAAACTCCAGATTGTAAAAGGACTGCTGTACAGGGACATGGGGAGGTAAGCACAGCTGCGATCTTGGGCTCAGGGAGTTAGAAGCTGACTGCTGCAGGCCGTGACTGGTCTGCAGAGAACTGCCAGAGGGTCTTCCTCCACAGGCATTGGGCTGTATTCTGTCTTCCCTTTGACTGGGGTACCAGAAACTGATCTGGGATATTGAGCTGGAATCTTAGGTGTGGGAGCAAGAGGAATTCAGATAAGGGAGTTAGCCAGGGAATAGACTCGAAGGTTTATAGAACTGAATTGATGAAAAGTAGAAATTTCAGAGACTGAATGGACTGAGCCTCTATGTTGACTGAGGAGGGGGTGAGAAGAGAGGATCCCAGCTGAAGGGACCTGGGTGTAGAGCTCACAATAAGGATCCTGCAGCATTAAGTCCCTTTTCCATCCCCCAGGTTCTGCATGCACAGAACAAGAGGGGTTTTCATTACTGAGGTATGAAGAAGACACCCCAGACAGTAGCGATCCATCTGGAGATGAAAATACCTTCCAGCTGACTCTGTGGCAAGGCAATCCTTGATTGACTCTGGGGCCGTTACCCAGTCTGATCCTCTGGCCAGGGAGAGGAGAACTAGAAGAAAATTTTGGTTTCAAAGTACAGAAGATATGGGGCCCATGAAGAAATGGACTGAAGCACACAAGACAGAAGGTGAGTGTTGTTAGAAGTCTGGAATGGGGAAGTGGGTGACAGGTTCTGCAGGTTCTGGTGAGAATGCTTACAGGCCACAGCTGAGGAAAGTGGCTATTTCCTCCCAGCCAATGGTGAGAAGAGCTGCTCTGAGCGCATCATGGGAAGTCTGCTTTCCTACAGCATCTCTTTCTTCCCGTAGGTGTGTCTTCTAAGGCTATTGACTGGTCCCAAGAAGCGAAGAGGAAGCGCAGTATAGTGGTGAGTTGCAATCCCTGTATTTTCCTGAAATGTTGGCTAATTCTCCAAACAATAGGCTTATATTCTCTGTCTTGAGCAAGTAGAAGATGATCAACATTTATCTGCCTGAACTCTTCAGAAAGGCTCCTTCCAGACCCCATCTGTTCACTCTCATTTTTCTCTAGAATTGAAGTTCCCTTCCATCTCTCAGAATTTTACCCTTCCTTAATGCCTATCACTAGTCCCACTTCCAGAATGCATTCTCCTCTTTTTTAGCTCATTCTATGCTATCTCATCTTGGAATTCTTCCATTATAAGTTCACAAAGTTGTTTTCTTGAATTCTTACTGCGCTCTGGACGATTTACAAATCATTTCTCCAATGAAATCATACTTGTTCGAGAGCCAGGATGTGTTACATGCAACACTAGTGTTCCCCACAGGTTTTGTTACAAAGCCTGGTACCCGGCTATGTCCAGAAGAGCAACTGTGGAGAACTCTGTTTTCTGAAAAGAATTGGATGAACTTCTTCAGATGCTGTCTTTTCAGGGGCACCAATGAAACTTCTTTCACTGGGCAGAATGATGGTGACTTGTGTGTTGACTTACTGCTTATTCTAGGAACCAGTTACATTTGAGGATGTCACCGTGGTCTTCACGGAGGCAGAATGGAAGAGACTGAGCTCTGAGCAGAAGAACCTCTATAGAGAAGTGATGCTGGAGAGTTACAGGAATCTGCTTTCATTGGGTGAGGATGTGCTGTCTTCTTTTCCTTCATTAGTTTCGGAGATATTTATTGACCACCTTGTGTGTGCCAAGGGAGCCATGTTGGCATAGTGGTAAGGCACTCAGTCACTACCAGAAAGGTCTAAGGTTGAAACCCACCGTCCACTTTGTGGAATAAAAATGTGACAGTCTGTGTATGTAAATATTACAGCCTTGGAAAGCCTATGGCCATATTTGGGTCTATCTTATAAGACCTCAGTGAGTAGTAATTGACTTGACAGCAAAGATATTTGGTTTTCTATATGTCAAATGTGTGGCGCTGTAGGATAATGTGTTGGACCACAATGTCAGTTTGAATCACAAGGTTTAGCAGTTCAAACTCACCAACTGCTCCTTAGAAACCCTATACAGGGTCACTATGAGTCACAATCAGCTTGACAGCACATAACAACAACATAGATCCAATGTTCCGGGGTGTTGCCAACAGTTTGTGCTTAAGTAGTAACATAAAGATGGGTAGTTTGAGCCCATCCAACAGCATCATAGAAGAAAGACCCAGTGATCTCTATCTGTAAAGATTACAGCCATTGAAACTCTCTGACCAAATCAAATACAGGTAAACCCTATGAAGTAATTCTAATGTGTAACACATAGGAATGGCTCTTGTTTCCTTCTCTTTTCTTAATATGTTAGTGGTCCAGAGGACTTGTATCAAATAGTCTTTTTCTGCAACTCTATTCACATCCTTAAACAAATTGTGAACTTTAATGTTGTAACATAACAAACCCATTTCCTCCGTCACTGCCTCACCTGTTTTTTCACTTGCTGCTATGACATCGGAAGTCAATTCTCAAACATCAGAATTTGAGATCATGCTTTTCTCTCCTGTGGTGTAGTGAACATCTAATGTGTCTTCTAGCCATAGTCTGTAACTCCTCCCACCAAACAATGATTCTGCCCTGCTGGGTCTGGTTAAGAGAATGTGGGAGAAGATACTGATCGAAGGTTTAAAATGAGCTCAGAAGCAGGAGGGCGAAGCTCACTACTGTCAAAGAAGAGCCAGGAGTGGAGCGTGTCCTTTGGACCCTAAGATCCCTGTACATGCAACCTCCTCAATGCAGGGACAGAAAGCTATGACAGCTGAGGAGTGGCAGAAGAGCCACAGCAGCAGAACCAAGAAGCAGAGAACAAGTCAGAGCAGTCAACTTCCCAGTCCATGGAGCAGGTAAAGCTGAGGGACTTTGGGCAGAAAGCTTGCTTGTACAGTGGGGTGTCTCCAGCCCCTTCAGTAGGAGAGTGAGGTTTGCTGACCCACAGAGCTAGAGCCAGATGTCTTCACGCTGAGGCTTATGGTGGAATGATGTGTCCTATGGGCATTTATCAGCAGTTGATCGGAACAACTATGCCCTGAGCATTTCTGACTCCAAATTGTAGCTTGTTAACATACACCTCATGATTGTGAGTATTGCCTTTGGTTTCTGTGTGACCATTGCGATGAATTACTGAACCCAGTGGAGTAGAGAGGGTTGGGGGAGGAATGGTTGGTGCTTCATTTCTGTTTTATAGCTCCTAGTCTAGTTTCTTTTTGTCTCTTATTTTTCCTCTTATTCGAGTTGTGATAGATTGTCTTCAAGTTTGTTGTTGGGTGCTGTTGAATCAACTCTGACCCATAGCGACTCTATATTGGGTTTCAAAGGATCAACTGGTGAGCTTGAATCACCAATGTTGCAGTTCAGATGACTTTGTAGTCTGACGTATTAGCCCACAGCGCTGCAGTACTCTTTTCTTCAAGTGCACTGTTAAAAATAAATGGGCCAATTCTCTCTGAAATAATCTGGAAAGATTTCTCAGAAGAGCTAGTTCAGTCACCGTAGACTTGA